GCTTGCAAGAGTATGACTTCACGGTGTCATACAAGAGTGGCAGGAAGCACGCTGACGCTGACTGCCTTTCGCGGATGCCGCTTACTACAACACTTTGCGATGCCGACAATTTCGATCACCTAATTGCGTCAGTGACTCCAGTATTCCCGGACAAGACCACCTTTGAAAATGAACAGCGGAAGGATGTCAGCTTGGAGCCATTATTTGCTGAAGCACGAGCGTCCACTTTGGCCGGACGCTTTTGCGTTCGTGAAGGATTACTTTACAAGAGGACCTTCTCGGCCACGGGTTCCCGCTTCTTGCTGGTGGTGCCGCACACACTCCGTTCCTCCATTCTGCGCGCCATGCACGACGACGCAACTTCGGGTCACCTGGGAATGACGCGAACACTCCTTCGTACACAGGAGCGATTTTACTGGCCACGCATGCGCCAGTCAGTTGAGCAGTACGTGGCCAGTTGCACTCAATGCCAGACGCACAAATCAGTCACGACTGCTCCGGCTGGACTTCTACAGCCTGTGACGCCTCCCAGCACTCCCTTTGAGCAAGTTGGCATTGACCTCGTGGGCCCTTTTCCACGCTCGGCAAAAGGCAACCGTTGGATTGTAGTGTGCGCCGATTACCTGACCCGCTACTGCGAAACGGCCGCCCTGCCATCTGCGACTGCTGGCGAAGTATCCTCCTTTCTCCTGCACTCTATCATACTGCGCCACGGACCTCCTCGCGTCATAATAAGCGACCGCGGCCGTCAGTTTACGGCAGACGTTGTTGAGGAACTGCTCCGTATGTGTGGCTCGGAACTTCGTCATTCGACACCTTACCATCCACAGACGAATGGCCTTACTGAACGAACGAACCGGACACTGGTGAATATGCTTTCAATGTACGTGGCGTCCAATCACAAGAACTGGGACGACGTCTTACCGTTCATCACGTATGCCTTCAACACTGCCCAACACGAAACCACCGGCCACAGCCCTTTCTTCCTTCTTTACGTTCGACCCCCTCGTTATACCCTGGACACTATCTTTTCGTTTTATGACAATGACGATCCTTCATTAGCTGAAACACTATGCCTTGCAGAAGAAACTCGGCGTCTTGCCCGCCTGCGTACTATAGCATCGCAAGACCGCTCAAAGCTCCGCTACGACAGCAAGCACCGCCACGTCACATATGAACCGGGAGACCTTGTAATGGTGTGGAAGCCTATCCGCAAGCGTGGTTTTGTCCACAAAACTTCTCGCCCACTACACTGGCCCATTCGTTGTCCTTGAGCGCCTCAGTGCAGTAGATTATAAAATAGCACGACTGACAGCTAGTGGGAGACGATCAACCAAGACCGAGGTTACCCATGTGGCTCGCCTCAAAGCTTTTAGACTGCGGGACGATGCATGAAACGCGCGGTGCGCTTCGTCTGCGAAGGGGGAAATATTACGACGTGTATGTGCCGGATTGATAAGAGGGAATAGAAGTGTGGACTTGGGAAGAAGAAGATCTCTCGGCAGTTTTATCCGGTGCGGCCTCGCCATCCCAGCTTCCGTTCAATAAACCCCCGTACCCCTACTTCAGGCGTAACAATATTATTACAGAAACACACACAAGGCGAAGCAAGCTAATCATCATGAGCCACGGAAACACAGTCGGGGCATGTGCCGGAAACTGTATTGAACCGAGCCCTAAAGCCATGCCAGCACAAGTGAACAAGTGTTCACTTGTGGCACTTGTGCAAATGGGCAGCGCACAATGTAAACTTAATTTGTAAACTAAAAAAGATAACTTCTTTCTCACTCAAATCCAATGATGGGGCACTAAAAGTACTGTCAACCTGCCCTTTTTCTTCAGTTGTTTCCCTGTCAGTGTGGCAGTACCAGTTCACTGGGTTTAAAGTCAGAATGCCAAGGCTTGAGACCTGGATGTCGGAGCACAGTTCTCAATCTTCTATTGCCTGGAGCTCGACTCTAAGACCTCGGGGTCATTCACACCGAAAGATGCACGCTTTCTAGAGCAGGCCTAGAAAACTAAAAAGCCGAAAACGGGCCCTGACGACAGCGCTGTTACGGGAGTTCCAAACATCTTACACAACAGCCACTCGCTTTTCGTACACACAGCACTACTTTCCTTCCAATATGGAAACGAATTCAGCAATGGAATGACAGAGGACTGCTTAAAAACCTCAACAACGTTCAAGAGCGTTCACACAGACATTCATCAAAAGTGCTGTGTGTACAGGATATACACTTAAAGGGACACTAAAGGCAGATATTAAGTCATTGCTTGTCCAAATTGCAGGCCAGGAACTTTGTAGTGTTACTTTTCTGCCAAGGAAGTGCTTATTCTGAAATAAAATAGCATTTTAGCGCCCGCATCGCGTTAGCGCACTTCAAATCACCTGCATGAAAGCAGTCTTTCTGATGTCCCCGTTTCCGTGCTCAATATTGTCCGCCTTTACTGCACGGCTGCAGACAGTAGCAGGGCAAAAGTAGCGGGAGCCACAGCAGCAACAATGACTATTGAACAATTTTCTGCTTGCTTGGTTCGACTGGGCCCTGCTAGATGGCAATCGTCACGTGGTCGTGACGATTGGCACAAAGGCAGCAGTCTGTATGTCAAAGATAAACTGTTTATTTGGCTATACTTGTGGTCGTTAAATGTAAAGGCAGATTACAGCAACACACTGGCACTGATTGCGAGAAACAGAGCATCGGCTGTTGATCTACTGACAAGGGGCAAAACGCATTGGCAATTGGCATTTATACAGAAGTCGTCACGCAATCTCTGGAATAATCTTGAGTGTGCAGGTCTTGTGGGCAATCTTAACAGAACGATCTACAATAATCGCAAACCTTCTTGAACAATGAGGCACAGTTTGCGCTGAGCAGTCCTGATAGGCTTTGTGGGCAAAAACCAAATGAAAGAAAAGTGAAAATAAGAAACGTGCGTGGCAGTATGTACGAGCACCCACACTTGGTCAAGCTGGCAAGCTTGGATGAACTGTATATTGAGAGTTGGGTACATAACATTAAACTCGTCGCTTTGATAAAAATTTGGAACATTGAATCTAAGAGGTGATGTGGAGGGGACGGGGACACCTGCTATCCATCTCCCACCGGACCTACAATATTTATTAGTGTAATCCTCACCCTTTCTTTTGCCCAAAACAGATAAAAAGCAGGGGTGGAGGTCAGAATTACACGAGGAGAGTTTTCTACAAAAACGTATGGAGCGGAAAAAAAATTAAATGAAGTGGCTGCGAATCGGGATTATTCCACTAGCAGCTACCTACAAGCTTTGAGACGTACTAATCAGCATTTACCTTAACAATAAAACCACAGATTATACACAAGGCAATATTTATTTGAGACACAAAAGCCGCAAGCAAATAGTAGAGCTTTAGAATACGATATGCGAAGCTTGCGGGCATAGCGTGAGCATTCCTAACTCAACAGGAGCCCACCAAAGATTATCAGTCGATGTCAACCTTGGGCTGATGGCCATCTAACCCGCAATCGTTCTCAGTTACCTTCTGACGAAATAAAGTTCATGGGAGACCATGGGCGTCGGCAGGGGTGTGCAAAAGGGGCACTTGTCCCCTTCATGCCTCTCTAGCACTTGCCCTCACCCAAGCTACACCATTGCTTTCCCCATCTCCCAGTCTCGATGATTTGCATCCCTCAAAAAAAAAAAAATCCTGCTGACAACCATGAGGAAGACCCAGTGCGTCTTGCGGTTTTCAGCTGCTTTTGCTGCCGTCACCTGTAGCAAACACAAAACCTGTCGACTCTAAAGTGCCTTTTGGCGGCCCTGTTGCCGTTGTTTAGTGCACGATCAATTACTATCAACTGGAAAACAGCCGTGTAGCTTCTGTATCACTCCATGGCGTAACTACAGCGTAACCACGCTACACTAACATGCCGCAACCTGCATTGGCCACTCTGGCTGAATTGGATTGGGGCTCTGTGCATAATGCTTAAGAGATGGCGCCAAGCGGTTCTGTGCTATCATCATCGGCGGTTGGAGGGAGCAGACAACATTACTGCATTAATTTTTGGGGGTCTGATTATTATGCGCGAGGAAAAAAAATTATAATTTTGGTGGGCACTGAGATGGGTGCGAGATTTATGCAAGTGGGAGGATTACGTGAGTAAATATGGTAATCCTTCTGGTTCAGTGAACACTGCGAAATGGTAGCTATGCTCTGCTTGAAGTATGTTTGCCTTGTAGCATATGCCGTCTGGTTGGTGTCATGCTTGTAAACTAGTAGCGAAATGGGTGTTGGTTTTGATAGTCCTTTGCACTGAGCATATTAAAACAGGGATGCATGTAACTGCATATTGCTGGAGATGTAAGCTAACATCTTGAGCTTTTGGAAGTGTCAAGTTTTCTTGAATTTGACATGCATTTTTTTTTTCTTCTCCACATTTAACTATAGTGCCAAGAATGGTAGTAAAATGTTCACAGCTTCTATTTAGAATGCAATGGTGTTTATAGTACACTGATTTCAGTGCGCTTGCACAAGAAAAAAGATTTGTAATATGTAATGCTTCTAATTAAGCTGTTACGGAATATTGCTCTTTACTGTTTGTAACATCGCAGATTAATTTAAAAGGTGTTTTGATAATTGGTGGTTGCTTTGAAACCACCAATGTCTTTGCATATAAAGGAGCGTCCTGATTGGAGCATCAGTCTTCTGGTAATTAGGTTGGTGTATTTCTTCTTTAAGGCCTAAACCCTTAAAAGCCTGATGGGGGCCACATTGATGCTTTATTTTATGTCAGCATCAGTGTAGATGCATCAATAATAATGTCGAGCCTGTAAGCACAAAGCAAGATTGTGATGACGCTTCAAAGAACTGGAGAAGAATAATAAGAGGTGTAGTTTGCAAACGATAAAACAAAAATGGGCAACGTAAATATTGTGAAACAAAAAAAAATTGTAACTATCACAGTGAATGGCGTGAAGCTGGTTGTCGCATGTGTCTAATAGATGGGAATTGGGTGCAGGCAGTGAACAAGCTGCTGCAGCAGGTTGTCCACCAGCTGAAGCCAGATGACCTTCCCTTGTCAGCTGATGCTGCAAAGGTAAAACAGTGCATGATGAACTTTTCGAAAGCTGCAAAATTTTTCAAATTTAAGGACATTAAGAGAAGCGACATTTTGCATTGAGTGTATTTGGAAAAACAAAGGCAGCAGTTATAATTACATAATTGCAGTTTTTTTGTTATAAGGCTGTTGCAGTTTTCAAGATCGAACTCGCTGTATGTGCTTTGGAGGACTGAAGGTGCTGGGGAGCTTGCATTGCAAACCTTCTCTTTGCAGATGGTCGTTCATCCACTTCGTGATGCAGATTGCTGGCAGGGAACACTAAGCTTTATAAACTTTTAGTAAATCTTTTAGGAAGGAAGTCCCCAGTGGCTTTCTTATCTATTAAAATTCTTGAGTAGTAAATATTGAAGTTGAACCAACCTGGTAGTGGACACCGGCTCACTTCTCAAATCAGTTAACTGAACCACGTTTTGTGCTGTGCAGTGCTGGCAGAGGCTGTTTCAAACTCTATCGAGGTCTGTAGGATGTCTGGACAGGAGTGAGAGTTTGTGTCTCAGCAATACATTGTGCCAAAAGAAGTGGACAGGCTCCCTGGACAGCCTTGCTACTACTCGTAGTTTAAAAGCACTTGTGCAAGTAAAGAATTACACATATTTTATCAAAGCTGCTATTTATGGCTATGTGCTTTGTATTTATGTACTTGGCTCTGTAAACTGCATTGTGCTTTTACCTGATATCTATTGTGCCCTGTAGTGTTGTACATCCTAGTAAACATTCTGTTAAGTGAACTATTGATGGAAGTTCACAGAAATTAAACTTCACTGTACGCATTTTTGTGAACAGATAGATATTTCAAACTGGGGGACAAAACAAAGCTTAGCTTGATTACCATAAAATAATTAATCTTTTTTACTACAAATAAAAAAGCTTTTTCTGGTTACAAAAATCTTTCAATACTTAGTTTTACTCAGAAACAAAAGTCTGCAGTTGTATCGGTGGGGATTTGTGGCAATGCTAATGGAACAGCATTTTGCTAGATATGTTGTTTTATTGAAGTGGAATACCACAAAATCTTGGTATGCACACTTGGTGAATGTGAATAACTTATCGGCCAAAACATGTTGCAGTGCGTAGTACACGCACATGGCTTGTCAATGAAAAATACTGAAAGTGGAGCAACGTCTGTAAGCCATTGAATATTGTACTGGGGTCGTGACATCGACGAAGGTTGCAGTCGGCATGTCCAAGTAGAAACTCTTTATTTGTCCCAACTTGTGGCTGGGAAACCAAAAGTCAAACTACAGCAAGCAATGCACACTGCGCACTGATACACTGGTAGCGGTGAACAAAGCATCAGCTGTTCATAAACTGATCTGGGATGAGGCGCATTGGCGTTTGTACATATAGCAGTGAACTTTTGAGCATTGTCACTGGTAGCCGGTTTTTCTGGAGAATAAACTCTGCTGTTCGCGTTTGCATTCTCAAGCCTACCAGATAATCCTCAAAGAATTTGGAATGCTCTCATCTGGACGGCATCTGGCAGAGTTTGTGTAAGGCAATATCAGCACGTACAAAAGGCTGGCAATGTAAACATGGAAAGAAAAGTCTGTGAGCCATCGTCCCCCCCCCCCCTGAAAAAGCATCGTCCCAATGCTTTAACAAAATATGTGAATTCAATAGTAAAGCAAGAAAGTACAAGCGATTGATACAAGCATGAAAGTATGGAAGTGCAATAATAAAAAAGAAATGACAGTCCTCAGGCTTGTTAACACTAATAAAACGGCTTGAGGCACAAGACTTGGATAGCGTCAGGTCGCGCTTGGTGCTGTTGAGAAGTTGTAATGCTGTCTGGAATAACCTCATAGTTCAGGGTGCGGAAATGTCAAAGAACCTTGTATAGCCTGAAGTGTCGCCGAAAAAGTTTTTCAATCAGTCCATGTTGGCGTATCGGTGTCCACACCCAGACACAGTCGTCGGGTTGCTTTTCCATGAAGTATCATCAAAGATCATAACGGTGGCTGTGGGTTATTTGCTTTGATGCTTAGGCATGTGAGCTGTCAGGCTTCTCCAGTGCGCTGTAGGTAGACAGTGACGTTGTTTTTCTCATAAGAGACATTTGGTAACATGGTGTCAAATGTTGCCAGGTTCAATCTGTAGACCAACTTGTACGGCCTCATCTGCGTCGATTGTTGCACAGCGGTGTTGTATGCAAAGGTCATGGCGGAAGGACGGCATCCCATGTCTTGTGTACGATGTTGATGTACATGGCCAACATGTCGACGATGGTCTTGTTTAGTTGCTTGATGAAGTCAGTGGTCTGTGGGTGGTAGGCAACGATCTGGCGGTGGCTTGTTTGGCTGTGTCCCAAGATAACCTCAGTGCACACCGCTGTAAAGGTTGTGCCTCTGTTGGTAATGAGGACCTCTGGGGCGCCATGACGCAAGACGATGTTCTCAACGAAGAACTTTGCTACCTTCGTGGCACTGCCTTTGAGCAGGGCCTTTGTTTCAGCGTAGTGGGTGATTTCAGAAGCTACTCTACAATGATAGACTTGTTTCTGACTGCCGACATCTGGAACAGCCCCATTAGGTTCATACTGATTTGCTGGAATGGCTGGTGAGGGTAGTTTGATAGCCTACAAAAGTCCCGCTAGCCTTGGTGGTGTTCTGCATCGTCGGCAGTCCCAGCATGTCCTCATGTTTTGAGTGCTGTCAATGGTAAGGCGTGGCCTGTAGTACTCTTCTTGCATCCTCGCGAGCATGCGAAGGTGCAAGAGCATGCGAACTTGCATATTCCATGCAAGTCCTCATTTTTTTCTCTTGTTTTGTGCAGTGATGTGATGGACATCACCAAAATCAGCTGCTTTAGTTACCCCACAAGAATGTTGGCTGCAAAGTTGTCACAGGGCAAGTGTGATAAAATTTGTGGGGAGCCATTATATTATCGTTTGGTGTTGCGGGTAGCTATTTGTGTTATTCTGGGGTCAAACTTGCTTATGCAGCTTTTTAAGTCGGTGGGGAAAATCTAAAGGAGACTTTGGTCCACCTTAGTATTACCACAGGGCTTTAAGGTTAGAAAAAAAAAAAAGAAACTTATGGAAGGCTTTGCCATATTGGCAGACGGGGAGTGAAAGCATGCCATAATACTTGTTGGCAATGGAAGCTGCTGTTTTCTCTGCAGAGGATCCCTGAACTGGAGCTTCTGGTGGAACAGTGTGGTGGACAGCCGGAGTGTTGTGAGGCGCTAGTCTCCCTGGTGGTGGGCGGACAGCTGGAGTGGCGCTTTGGCCTTGGCCAGCTACTTGGTGCATGCACTGCTCAGGCTGCTGACCGGTCAGTAGCTCATGCTTCTGTTGCCTGTTGGTTACTTGTCTATAAGCCAACGCAGTACTGCCCGTCATATTGGAGGAGGATCATTCCAAGTGAAACGTCCCAGCCCAGAATGGACCACGAGCGATTCTATTGAAAAAAATTTGAGCTACACGGCGACCGTGTACGACTGATTTTAGCCAAATATTTTCGTTAAAAAAAAATAATTGAATGTTGACGTCGCCACCATTTGAATGTTCTGGTGGAAAAGAAAATTCAGGTTTGAATAAATGCTTGTTCAGCCTTGAAATTCGGTACAATGACACATTGTGTTTTAAAATTGTATTGGGATTGTTCTTTCACATGACGACTCAAGCAAAACTGTAAGCTTAGTGAAGGAGCAGGAAGACATGCTAACTTGGACATTTTTTTAGTGTTGTAAAAACAACAGCAATGTTGGGGACACTAAAATTTCTGGCCTTTCTTTTTTAGCAGTGGACATACTATTTTCTAATAATATTTTTGTCGTTTAAAAGCCGACTTTCATGAAGAAAAAAAAATCCTTTCAACATGACAAAAAAGTTAATCACTCGTAAATTAAGCATTGAGGCCCTCACGATGAAAGTATATACTAGGGCTCATTATATGCCCAAAAATCTTCCCTTTTGTTGTGCAAACTTTCGTTCTTGTAAATTTTGTTTCAAAGAGAAAAATCAAGTTTTAATGTCCACAGCCAATGCTACTGGTTGGCATTAGCAAATAAAGCATTTTTTATGGTTTTAAGTGAAATATTGTGATATATCCTTACTTATTTTTCAAGTTTGTCCTATTGTGGACCTTGTTAGCTTGTTTGCATATGTTTTGAGCATTGTTAGCCTTGTGTTAGACCTGAATTGACTGCTGCATGACCTTATAACATGAGACAATGAATGTATGACAAGCCGGGCTTTTAGAGGGCTGTGCACTTAAAACAAAAAAAGGTTTTTGAAAGTTTACTATTACGCAAAATACCTATCAGTAATGTAGAACTTCTTTTCCACTTCACATGATGAGACACCACAGTATTATTCTGTATGGACAAAAAGTAATGTAAGTAGAGTTAAAATAATTTTGGTGCAGCACTCCAAAATTCAAGGAAAGAGAACCTAGCCCTCTCAGAGATTTGGCATTGCGATCGCCTCAAAGTGTCCAAAGCACTGCACCATTTCACACCATCTACTGTTTAAACACTTCATGTTGGGATTACATTATTCTCGAACACTAAGTTGAATGGAGAGAGCAGGAGTGAATGACCACGTGGCCGGCCATCGTTGTAGCAGACGACACACTTGTCTCCACCATAGAGTTAATATACAGACTATACACTCTATGCATGGCGACTGGCAAGTCGCCCCGCTGCTGTCAGAACAAACGGCCATTGAGAGCTCTTAGCCTAGCTGCACAAGCGGTGAGGCCATGATCATGATGAGCGAGGATGATGCCGCGGCAATTTCAAGCAAAACAATTCGCGAGACTCGGTGACAGACCGTGGCACAAAGCCGCAACAAATGAGCATGACTCTCCATAATTTCCATGTTGAAAGGCTGTGGAACCATCGATATTTCTAAATGCTCCAAGTATTTTGCAAGTACGAGGGTAGTGGGCACTCAACAATAATAATAGAAGTGTGAAAAAATGACAGCTTATACTTGCCAGTTATGTACTAATCATCTTGCATTGCACATACCTGGCACATGCATTTGTCGTCAGTACTGACGACGGGCACCAAAGCGGTCACTAACGGGGAAAACGTGGCCACTTTTATGCAGGTTTTCCCATTTATTCATAGTAGCATTGCAGTGGAATGTCCTTGTATGATATTTTAAAGCCCTGCTTGAAGAACCAACGCGCAGGCCACGAGTGCTTTTGACACCATAGCTGTCAAAGCAATGAGAAGCGGTGGTTTGCTATACGATTCGCAACGTTTGCATGTTCGCTGCACCACAAGTGGCACTGCTCGTGGCTTTCAAAGCACCCTCTATAGGTCCCAATCGGAGTGTATAAGCTCCTCAAGTTTATTGGCCATTTACTGCTGATAAGACCTTTTAAAGAAATCGTAAATTGCCAGCTGCTTCATTGCTAGAGCTTCATTGCTAGAACTTCATGCCGGAGCTTTGTGCCTTTAGCACAAAGCTCTCTATACCAGTTGCGAAACATCACAGTTTGCCATGCGTGTGCTCCATTTAAAATATTTGTATACTAGCAATACCTTTTTCCTTAAAGGCCTGAGGTGCTTATTTTTTCACTTTTAAACTGTTAGGTATATATGAGCATGCAAATTTTCAAATAGTAGTTGGAAAGCAGCAGATATTTCTTGGTATTAAATCACAAAAAGTATGAATTAACTGAATGATGGAGTTTGAATTAAGAGGCTTTTTTTAAATAACTTGAAAAAAATAGTGGGACAACCAAAACATTGAGTTTTATTTGAATTAATCAAAAGTACGAATTAAACTATCAAAGTTTGAATTTCTACTGTACGACATTTTGCCTCTTGCTAACCCTTCGAAACCTGCTTTAGTTTTGTGCTCAAACCTTCTTTAAGGAGGAGAAACGAGTCTTAGAAGGCTGTAAGTCGTGAAAAAAATCGACTTCTTGAAACTGGCATTCTAAGAATCTGTACCTATTTTTGCACTTATGTGATAAGTTTCTAGCTTCTCGTACCTATAATTTTGCCGCAAAATGAATTTTAACACACATATGAGACTATTATGAGTGCAAATAGGTGATGAAAGTGCGTGTTTTTTGTGTCAAACTGTTGCCATCACACTTGAGATAATCTTGGCCATCTTGGTCTCGTTTGGAAAAGTCATTTCTTCTTCTTCAGTTTCCCGCCATTGCTGGCTCACCTTGCTGATAGGTTTTTCAGCAAAAAGGCGTCATTGAGAAGCACCAGCACGCTATTTTATTGACTGCTTGGGGCACATGACAAGATTTAGGCATTTGATAGGTCATGTGGCGTTTTGGGCGTCTGTGGAGCTATTTTTGTGTGTTCACCTTTAGTGGACACAACGATTTCAGCCTTCACTGATTGGCTGGAGCTCGGCAAGCAGCGCACTGCTTCTTTTCAGTCTTTCTTTCGCAACGTTATTTTGATGCCATGCAGCTTTCACTACCCTTGATGCAAGCGAGAAAGACCGAATGCATTTCGCTGCAACGAATGGGGCCCCCAGAGATCTGCTACTTGATGCACATCTCGGAGGCCGTGCATGAACCCTAATCACGTTAATCCTTGAATTAGGCTTACCGCAGCCGCCCGCCTGATGCGCCTGTAAGGTAGGTACGCATTTCCTGTATTATTCTTCAAAAATCTCAACACATTCATACGCAAGTGCACAATGTCCACTTTCTTGTGATGCTGGGAGTGTGCTGGTGGGTTTGGTGCGTCGACATGGTCAAGAGCACCGTGACAGCACGACTAACTGCATTTTTGCGTAACTGAACGTGCTCTGACGAAGTGAACATGAGCCAGTGGCATGCACGGCCGTTCTGCAGGCTCACTCCTTTCCTTACGCACGGGGGGCTGTTGCTACCAGCTTGGCAGGGGCGCTCAGAGCCAACTCAATGCTGGAAGTGGTGAATGCGCGGTTTTGAACTTACCGTGGCCCTTTCTGAAGTAACATCATAGCAACAATGCCATGAAACATGATGGTGGCAAGCATATAGGATAACTCTGGTGATTGACACAAGGCACACGCTGCTGATCTGCCTGTTTCTGTTGCTTGGAAAAGCATAGCCGTGGTTAATACAAATTTTTTATTATTATATTATCATCATTATCATCATCAGGCTGACTACGTCCACTGCAGGACAAAGGCCTCTCCCATGTTCCGCCAGTTAAACCGGTCCTGTGCTTGCTGCTGCCAATTTATACCCGCAAACTTCTTAATCTCATCTGCCCACCTAACCTTCTGTCTCCCCTTAACCCACTTACCTTCTCTGGGATTTCAGTTAGTTACCCTTAACGACCAGCGGTTATCCTGTCTACGCGCTACATGCCCGGCCCATGTCCATTTCTTCTTCTTGATTTCAGCTATGATATCCTTAACCCCCATTTGTTCCCTACTCCACTCTGCTCTCTTCTTGTCTCTTAAGATTACACCTACCATTTTTCTTTCCATTGCTCTTTGCATCGTCCTCAAATTAAGCTGAACCTGCTTTGTAAGTCTCCAGGTTTCTGCTCTGTAGCTAAGTACCGGCAAGATACAGCTGTTATATACCTTCTTCTTGAGGGATAGTGGGAATCTACCTGTCATAATTTAAGAGTGCTTGCCAAATGTGCTCCACCCCATTCTTATTCTTCTAGTTACTTCAATCTCGTGGTTCGGCTCCGCAATTATTACCTGCCCTAAGTAGACATAGTCTTTTATAACTTCTAGTGCACTATTACCTATCTCGAAGCGCTGTTCTCTTCCGAAGTTATTGTACATTACTTCGTTTTCTGTGGAATAATTTTAAGACCTACCTCTCTGCTCTCCTTGTCTAACTTGATAATCATGAGTTGCAATTCGTCCCCTGAGTTACTCAGCAATGCAATGTCATCGGCGAAGCGCAGGTTACTAAGGTACTCTCCATTAACTCTTATCCCTAACTGTTCCCATTCTAAGCTTCTGAAAACCTCCTGTAAGCACGCGGTAAATAGCATTGGGGAGATTGTGTCCCCCTGCCTTACACCCTTCTTGATTGGTATTCTGTTGCTTTCTTTATGAAGCACTATGGTAGCAGTTGATCTCCTGTAATTTCTTCCAGAATATTTATATATACTTCATCTACGCCCTGGTTCCGCAGTGTCTGCACGACGACTGATATTTCTACTGAATCAAATGCCGTCTCGTAATCTATGAAGGGTATGTATAGTGGTTGGTTATATTCTGAGCATTTCTCTATTACCTGATTGATAGTATGAATGTGGTCGATTGTTGAGTAGCCTGTTCGAAATCCTGCTTGTTCCTTTGGTTGGTTGAATTCTAATGTTTTCTCTACTC